GCCCGCGCCACGCCAGCTCGTCTTCGCCTGCCAGTTCCACACGTGCGCTGTCGCAGACCACACGCTCTCCTTCACTAAGCAACAGCTAGACCACGCTGCGCATGGTAACACTATCTCACTTATTCTTTTCATTTCGCACATATTGTATCTTTAAGCATGTTTGCTGCAAACTTCAACCCTATATTTAACTACTCTTGTCCAGGTCGTCTAAGTACAAGATGCTCTCAACCTAATCAAATCTAGGTAACCTTAAAAACATTAAATAATTTTTGAACCACACTTGAAGAAGTTATACTTTTAATTACAGCTGTAATAAAGAAAGGAAACCGTTGAGTTTTACAGTACAACAACGAAAAAGGTTAAGTGCTTTAATTAATGTTTTAAACGTTAAATTTTTACGTGGTAAATGGCAGGTATTATGTGTAATTTAAATAGTAAGTTTTATATCTCATTAAATACAAACGATTAAAATACGGTAATTGCTGCATCTTCGCATAAACTTGTGTTACAATCTTACAATGCATGCAATTAAATGTAATCATATTGTACTTAAAATTTTACCCGTTATACAGCCATCTTCGTAATATAAAAATCTTTTTAAACCTGTAAAATTGGACTTGTTCATCCTTTTTAATTAACTTTACGATAACGAAAATTCTAAAATGTTAAAATAATACAATTGAATTACATTTATAAGAGTCAAAAAAATTGTATTTAAAATGTCTAGTTAAGGCCACTATATATACTAAGTTTTGTCAGAAGATTCGGACTGTTCAGATAAAACTGAGCGTGTGTAGCTGCCTTTAGGATTCATGACTTTGTAAGATCATTTACAATTCAATTATAAAGATACCACAAGATAAAATAATTTGAAAACTATGTATATTTAATAGCGTTCACTTGGATGCCTGTTTGACGATATCTTATAATTTAGGTACTCCATAAGATTAACAAACTAGCCTTGTTAGAATGATTAAGATAGGTATGTTTTTTTATCTCATAATGATGATGTAAGTGTGAATATTATTAAGACAGTGTATTTCGTCGTAGAAGCGTCGTTCCCCTGCGACGGCGCGGTGGAGCTGGTGTTCGTGCGGGGCGAGGGCGGCGGCGGCGCTGCGCCCGCGCCCACGCCCGCCGCCCCGCTGCGCGCCGCGCCCGACGCCATCGCCCGCGCCGACTCCCTCGACCATCTGCGGCCGCTCTCCACGCTCACTGACGACGACACTGGTCAGTACCCACTTTATCTTACCACTAGGCGATATGAGTACACAGTCCAAATTACCTCAAGTTAGATTACAAAACCTTTTTTAAGATTTTAGACAATACGAAATATACTGGAGTCATCTGAATGATAATGACACACGTATAGGACTAAAAATATAGTTTAAACGAGAAAATAATGATAAGCATTGGCCTTACCAGTCGTTTACTTTAATTGTTTACTAGCTTTCCCCTCGACTGCGTCCGCGTGGAATTGTAAATACAAAAATAAATAGCCTATGTGTCCTTCCAAACTATCATCTACATCTGTGCCAAATTTCGTCGTGATCAGTTCAACCGTTGAAGCTCATCCATCCATATAAACTTTCGCATTTTTAATATTAGTAAGATTGAGAATTATTAAAAGGAAAAATTGACAAAAATGAATTATGCTACTAATAAATCTATCGAATAAACGAGTACGTTCGTTAATTAAAAGAACTAGGTTTATAAATAGACGATAATAACTTCTAAATATGGCGGCTGCGCGTCGGAAGATTTATGTCGATAGCAGATGACTTAATATGATCCCATAAATAAATACAACTCTATAAATATGATGCTTAAGAAAACGGCGATGGATAAACGCGTGTGAATAGGATAGAACTGGTCGACATTAACTGACTATTCAACTAATTTTAATTAATACTACTTTTAATTAATATTGTAAGCTTTTCGTAAACTCCAGCAGATGATATAAAAGGGATAACAATTATTTTCAAAACTTTCTATCTTTAGGGTGAAAAATATAAAGGACCGTAATAATAATCCTACGACGCGACTTGATTATTTTTCATATGTCTAACATGTTTACGTAATAAAATGTTTTATAGATAAAACATTCACTTCTGTTCTGTAACCGCAAACGGCGTCGATAGGAATTCATTGACCGCAATTGTGTCTGTGTATGTATAAATAAGAATAAAACAGACGCTTAAACTTTAAACAGCAAAAAAAATTCGTTACATCTTTTAGACGAAGTTAAAACCTAAGAAATTCTGTGTCAAGTACTTTAAGTAAACATAATTAATTAATAACAAACCGATAGTAAATAGTAGTGTTTTCAGCTATTCCAAAACTTAATAGTCTCCGTAAAGTATCGTAAGTAAACGCACCACAAGCTAAGCATAGTACCAAAGTACCACTTTATAGCTTCAACATCCGTAATTTTCAGTCTATTTCCGTTAACAGCCACAAAAGTACTCCTTGTGGCGATCGCAAATGCTCGGCAACTGACGAGCTATTGAATCACAACATCCTTAACCTATGATTTGTTACATTGTCTGGCTCAGTGGAAACTTACTACAAAATACCCTTATTCACTCAACGTGATAATCTACAATCAGGCGACTTCCTACGTACTGGATACTATTTGATATACTTACGAGGTAATTCGATAATTGAACGAGTATCTACGGGTTTCCTAGGAAACGTTACGTTGAGAAATGTTTTATGCAACTATTGTAATGTTATGATTTTAATTGTAATACATGATGCCATGTGTATCTAGATTATTAATGCAAGAAAGAAATCTATATAAATTATGTAATTATGCGGATAAGACAAGTTTTTTGACTTAAAATATTTCGTTTGTATGCAACTGAAATGCCCGAAAGCTGAACATTTTTTTCTTAATCTAAAGCTACAAATTTTAATTTCTCGCTTCATACATTCTGTTAATAGGCGTACTAAAAATAAACTGACGACAAGCGACGGCGGTCGATTCATATTTTCTCGATATTGAATTACTGTGTATTTAGAGTAATATGTCGGAGTGTCATAACATTGTGGGATAGAGAATTGTGTCATTTGAACAGTTTAAAGAGCAGCGGTTAGCGGCCAGGTCGCGCTGTTCGGCTGCGGTGCAGGTGCCGGGTTTATTTTAGACAGCGCCCAGCCGCCGCCCGCCGCCCAGTCGTGTCCGCTGCGCCGACAAACACTATCAACTTCGCCCAACGTGATAAAACGTAATCTAAAAGCTTACAGTGCTCGTCGATATCGCTTGTGTTATATATTTGTGTGATTAATGGACAATCGTATTGGCCGTGTGTAGCAAAGGCCGTATGTGATCCTTATTTGAACCGTGAACTTTACCATACTTTTCGGTGAGTAGAAAATGTTTCTTTCCAAATCTAATACTTCTTCAATTATGTTGTTAATTATTATTTCTATGTTTCATTCAAGACAATCTTAATTTATGTTTTCATTTCTATCATAGCATACAAATGTTACTGCGGTACTTATCTAACTAATACGATAATTTAATTACCATGTCTTAAACCGTGTATCGAACGATTGTGCCGGCCTGTTCGAGTACAAATTTTCATTTAAATATTACTAGTAGTTACAACGCCTTCATAATCTAATTGCATTAATTTTCAATTTGCGTATATTAAAGTTATGGAACTAATTAATCGAATCTGATAAATGTAAACCCACTGATTTATTATCGAAGGGTTTGAAACTATAATAATGATGATGTTATGTGGTTTTTCGTTACGGTTGCATTTATAATACGACAGATCGGAATGAACGAAGGGTCGCTGCTTTATTAGAAAGAAAACAATAGTGTTGGTTTTGTTCGAGTCGATCGTTAATGTGTGATCAGTGTGGGAGTATCGGCGCCAGGGCGATGCGTCTAATTGTCCGGCGTGGTGAATCGCTGACGGATGTCCCCGGCCGGCCGGCGCGACGGCCCTTCGCAACGCTCATTTCATTTCTCCATTCGACACGCTCCGCATCTTCAATCAAGCGACATCGGCGCCTCTAATCTTACTTTCATTTGGCCTGAGCTGTCGCGGTCGAACACGAGTTTTTGATTAATCCACTTCACACATTGTTATTGTTTAGTTCGAACGTTGTACGATTTCGAATTTCGTAGT